CCTAGCATATTCTATACGAGCACGTATTTCGACCTCGTGGTCAAGATCGTTTGTTATCCAGCAACCAAGATACTGGAATCTTTGTACTGGTTCTATATGTTTGTTATAGATACGAATATTAATGTCGACATTTGGTGGAACGCATAGCGGAACTAAAATGGAACTGGGCAGGCCATGTAGCGAGAATGCACGATTCACGATGGACGAGCGAAATTACAAATTGGAGGCCAAGAGCAGACAAACGCAGTAGAGGAAGACCACCTACACGTTGGGCCGACGACATCAGGCGTATCACTAAAAATTGGCAACAAAGAGCACAAAATCGTGAGGAATGGAGGAGTTTAAGGGAGGCCTATGTCCAGCAGTGGATGTGATAAATAGAGGCTGGATGATGATGATGATGATGATGATACCATTTCCAGCTTCAATTCTACTTTTGTTTTTATTGTGTTGTTTTAGTATATATTTTCGATCGTTTTGATTATTCCTAGAGGTATCTCTCTTGCGTACAATAAGTGGATAATGTCCTTTAATCTGAACCGATCAAATGACTTAAGGTCCACAAAATATAGATATGCCGGTTTATTGTATTCTAATGATTTCTCTTGCTCTTGCTTCATTATAAATGTACGTCGGTGCATGATCTTCCCCACCTAAAACCTTGTTGTTCTTCTGCTAATGTTATAATAATGTGAGATTAAAAATTGAGGGTTTAATTCAGGGCTTCTTTTAGAGCTGTGAGTCCCTCTAAAACATTTGATTTTGATTTTGTGCTTCTTTGCAGTTTGTTTTATTATCTTCTTACATGTACTGATGATTGCTGTGAATAGTTGTAATAAGGTTAGGTCAAACACTATATTTTGACACTGATTCTATGATTCACTTAAATTTCGATATAATTAGAATGGAATCAATTATTTTACTTGCTTAAAAGGATTTTCGATTGATTCACAGCTTCTGTGAAATTAGACGATCTGTTAACACATTGTGATATATATACAACGGTATATCTGGTATTTGAGGTTTTGTTTTAATGTAGATTCCGTCGTCATTCTGATACACCGAAATACCACAAATCAGAATTGTTTATGACAAGATCGTTTAGTGTAATATTTCATTGATAGCTACTAATTAACATATGCGTTTTAAAAATAGCCGCTGCATTAAAATAGCTATGTAAAAATTTGCAAATGTTGAAATAAAACTAGTTATATATTCTGCTTTTAGTCGTGACATGTAATGTAATGTTGCAAATTATGTATAATGCTTTAAAGTTTTATGTATAAAAAAACACTGTGATTAAATGGAAGACAACCTATTATTTACATATTTTCTATTAATTATTGCAGTCAAATAATTCGTGAGATAAAGTTACAGAGGTTATATTTTCAGTACCAAGGTGAGAAGGAAGCTGACTCCACGAGATTGACTCGTCTTCTTAAAGTTCTGTCTTCTATCGAAGGTTGGATATCAGCACGGTAATTTTCTCCAGATTTTGCAATTAAGAGGTTTGCTTTTTTTCTCTATCTCGTTTACCTTCATTTCTACCTTCCACGATCATCTGTAGCAGTCTGTAACTTAATCATCTCATGAAATCCCAAATATTCAAGCTTTCGCTTTTTAATAGTTTGATTGACTTCCTCATTTTTATTAACTCTGCTTAGATGCTCTAGATGCTTAGATATTAACTCTTGTTGTTGTTGTTTGTTTGTGTTTAAATGACTGCAGACAATAAATCCATTCGCCAATCTTACAATTTGTACTCATTTTTTCATTAGTCATGTTTCCTATACAATCTTATCCTAAATCTTTACTAGTATTGATCTCTAATATATAGTCTTTTTTCTATTAGGTGCCTTTTAGTTGTTTATATATAAAATGAGTGATTTTTTAACAAATTACAAAGAAATGCTTACTCTATATTTACAATTACAATTTGAGTTTAATATCTAAAACATGTTTATACAATAATCTATATAAAAACTCATTGTTTTCTAATGTTAATAAATAACTTAAATTAATGGGATGGTGGACATCAGTCAAGCTATTATTGGTAATTCTGTCATTCCAATTTTTTGATTTCTAATTATTTCAGCATCCAGGCGTCAGAGCCGTAGATTCGCGTTGTAAAAACATACGAAGTAGTCTATCCTCTCTAGAGATTTCAATAATCTTCCCATGGAGTTAACCATATTCCAAAGTACGTGTTTAATCTTTCGATTTGAATATTGTTAATATAAAATGCTTCGTTGTTTCGTGGATGTTAATTTCTCTTAAATTGAACACGTTGACTGCCACAAAAAATGTTTAAAAAGGTCCATGATGCCAAGTGAAAAAAGTGCATTTGGCAACCAACTGAAATATTTCTATTACTAATATTTCACCAATTTCATTTATTAGTCCCAATTTAAAAAAAAAATTTTTTTTTTTGTGACTACTACAGTCTTTCTTCAGTCTCCTTGGACTCATATCACTCAACGGAATCGAAACACCAATCCTTCTCTCTAATTTTAATCTATTCATACTCCACCTTGTACATTCCAACAGTGTATGTGACACAATGTCGACCAAACTGCAGTAAGGTTATTTATTTGTATCCGCTTTCTTGAACCTGAAGACGTATAAGCGGAAACATCCGTGGCCCGTGAGAACCTGCGACAGGAAATATTCTAAACGCAGATGTCCACATTCGAGCCACGTCTTTACGTTCGGTATAAGTGACTCCACTGTGCCACATCCACAGTTGCCACAGTATTAAGAGCACGATTAAATAAACTGATGCTCTCGCATGCCAAGATGTGAGAGAGCATGCAGCCGGTGATGACCCACAATGCTGCCGCAGAAACAGTCCTGGAGGCGCTTGCTAAGCGTAACAGGATTGTTCTGTCTGTTCGTGTCAAAAGTTTCCGGCAGGACGATATATCTACTTCTCCGCTTCAGACGGACCGTGTAAAGAACGATAGATTGCACCCCATGCAAAGCCCTTCTCCTTTCAGGTTTGGGCCCGCCTATGTTGGGCATTATCCCTCTCAGTGCAGCCGCTCTCTGCGTCGCCGTGTGCGTCACCACCCACAGATGCTCGCCCCAACTCCTATTGATGTGGAGAGTTACTCCCAAGTACTTAACGCCCTTTTTGTAGTGGTCTCCACCGCACTCAAATATAACATTCTCGCGTTTCCGTGGTCCCTCGGTCTTCTTCTCAGCGAGCTTTAGACTGCGCTGACTCATCCAATCTTTTGCAAGGTCAAAGTCCGTGCTTTGTACAGAAGTTCGGTGACATCCTCACCGTATGCGAGGCGCAAGACCCCATCATATGTCAGGTTCCACAGCTTTGGGCCAAGGACGGACCCCTGTGACACCCCAGTCGTAACATCCACAGTCACACCTCTCTCCAATAGATAGTCCGATACCAGGTTCCTCAAGTAGCCAGGAAAGTTTCCATCCTCAACCGCTCTCATCACTGTTCTCCATTGTAGTGAATTGAAGACGTTCATAACATCTAGTAGGAGCAAAGCGGCCCATTTTTGGTCGCAGGCCTTCATATTTAACGCTCGGTAAACTTCCAACACTGCATGTCGTGTTAACATTCTTACGAAACCAATATTGTCTATTGGATAAGCCTCCAGACCTCTCAATTGCTTCACCGATTCTCCCGCTCAGCATTCCCTCAAACAGTTTACAAATACAAGAGAGGAGGCAAATAGGTCGATATTTTTCTTCTCCTTTAGGCAGTAGTAGTTTTAGTAGTTTAGAGTATTAGTTTCGATGTTTTCCAGTCTACGGGAAAGCTCTGTCCAACGAGGACAGCATTCATGTGGCTCAGGAGCCACGCCGGCTCCAGTAGGCCCAGGTGTTTAATTGTCTCGGGCCGTATCCCATCTAGGCCCGGAACATTGCGCTACTTAAGTGACCCAACGCTTCAGTGAGTTCGTCTAGGGAGAAGGTTTCAGCTTGTTCAGCAGACGTATCATCACTCCTCACTCCATGCCATTCGCCAGACGGAAAGAGCTTTTGTGTTACCGAGCGTTTCTTATCCACCGGCATTTCGTATGAAAGGTACGCATCGAAACGCTCAAATCGCAGGACCTAGGTAAGAAATATGTTTCTCATGAAACTTCAAAACATCGAAAACTATAAATAGGTTAAGAACTGAGGTCTCTCTAGTGAAAACAAATATGGTAAAATGTAAAAAATAGACCAGGACGATATAAACGGTGACTGAGAAATACAAAATACGAAACATCTCACGTGTAAAAACTGTGTACTCTCTAAGATTTGTGTAGTCTCCCAAATGAAAATGAAACCAACGTAGCATAGTATTGTAGCACGTAGTCCGAAATCCTACAAAGAGGGTGTTCGCGAAATCGTACAAGAGGGTGTCCGCGAAATCCTATAAATCGGATATCTTATTTATAGGATTTCGTGGACATCCTATCGGACAACACCGTAAAGAAGCAGCCTAGTGCTAGAGTCCTGGAGCTTGAGTATATGTTTTAAGATCTCCAACTCAGGAGATATTTAGGGTCGATAGGGGTATTTAGGGTTGTCTAGGATAACGCTTAATATATTTAAGTATTATGTCTCTATTTATATAATCAATGCAGTTTTCTCCTCAATAATATTTCTCAACATGTAGATGTTATGAAATTCTCTTTTCTTCTTAAAGTCGCTTATTCTTCCTATAATTTGCGTACCAGTTCTTTTTAACATAACTTCGATTTAAAATGTTCTACGTCTTCCTATTTTCGAAAACAACACGATTATAAAGCACTAAAAGCTATTTTATACTTGAGGAATCAGAAGTATTGATTCTCCTCAAAAATCAATAAGATCCATCAAAATATTAATCATTCTCAACGAATTTTCATGTTGATCAATTATGAATACGGGTAGGTTACAAGTTAAAATAGTAATATGTGTGCGTTCAGCTACTTTATTTTTTTTACCTATTAGTAAAGGACCCATTACAAATATACTATAATATACTTATGCATACGTACCTTCTCGTTTTGTATGACTTTTAGATGGTCCTGAAGCGTTTTGGGCTCGTCTTCTGTTCAAAATAGGACTAGAATAAATGAGATGCCTTAAGGACCATCGGCCGGGAAACCTCTTTTTACGTTGGCCGGCAACGCAAGGCGTTACATCATTTTCGATTGAACCTCGCATGATTTGTTGCTAAGTTGGAATTATTTCTTTGTGTATGTGTCAGTATGTTTTCACAAAGCACATGTTGTACTTATAAACTATCTGTAACAAAAGAAAACACGATTTTAGAAATTATTGTGATCAAATATGAGAGTCAAGTAAAACAAATAAATAAAGTTAAGTAAAATAGTACGTTTTGATTCCTCTTACAACTAAAACAAACAAACAATTTAACAGTGCAGTTGACAGTTACGTAATAAGGTGATTTCTCGATTTTGATGTTCAAAGAGACAGGGCACCAAGATAGGTGATAGATAGGCGAGACCGAGATACCAACTGAACTGTCACTCCTTATCCTTAAAATGAGTACGAGATTGCGATAAGCGACATACGCAAAACGTCCATGCTTCAGTATAGAAGATGTAGAAAAAGGGCGTGTAATGGCTTCGAAACTCTTCGTTTAAAGGCTACTGGTTGAAGAAAATTGCGATATATTTCTCATATTACATGTTTCGAATGAAAAAATACAGGTATACCAATTCTATATTTAAAACGAGCCACGAAGAGGGACGATACCAACCTTTCAGGATTCTACTTGAGGATCGAATAGTGGTGGGTTCTTAGCCAATAACCCCTTTAGCAACTCGTCTTAAATTTCTTTCTGAAATTTTATTTTGAAGATTATTATTTTTAATAAGAAACCATGTACAAATCACTGTTAAAACAGAAATATCGCGCAGCGACAGACTTCACTACTGTTCTCAAAGGCGACAGTTGTTTGTCGCCTCGGGCTGCAGAAAGTATAAAGACCTTAATATAATTGCATTGGGAGCAGGCATGAAGAGACCACAATCGATCTCACCTATTTGTCACCTCAATTTAAATATGTCACGAATTCGGTAAAATCTTTATGGTTGGAATCTTCTTTTAATAAATTAATCTCGGATCATTCTGTCAAAACTGGGTTTGTCATTGACGTGGTGATAAGCTGCCAGGGGACAGGGATAATAGTAACACGCAAATTAAACCCGTCTTGTATCATATCATGTCCAAATACGCATGACAGTTCCGTAGCTAAAAAAATACTGACAAGAACGATCGACGGGAGGCACCAGGCCACGACTCCTAACCAAAAAACTAATAAAACTATATTTCCAAATGATGTCCAGCGAAATAAGATTTTACTTTAAGAGTTAGCAATTCGCACAAAATCCAACAGAAATCAACATTAGAGGACGACTCGCACTCTCTTACCGAAAACACCGAGAAACTTGAGATTGATATACACAATGTTTACCTGGAGCTGGAGGAAGTTGAGTGCTAACACTAGGAAGTTCATTATACCACAGTACCTCAACCATACCAAAAAGTATCCAGGAAAATGGCGTCCAAGAAATAGAATCCTTAAAAGATGCTCTAATAAAACATATCAATGAGACTCCTTGTGATTCTCGATATGAAGGAAGTCATTAACGGCATGTTGGGATAATATGCACCAAGGATCAGTCCTTTAACACCACAAAAGAAGAAAAGTTCTTAATGCTGAAAAACTCTCTAAATCAAAATGTGTGCAGGCACATTTTTGAGGGATCAGAAATGGGGACATTTTGGAAAACAAATAAAGGACTCAGTGTGAAGAGTTGGGAAATCCTCCGCAAGGTAAGAAAAATTGGGTTGAGAAAAGGGATATAGTACTTTCAGTTCAACAACTTATCTTTATCCGACTCTTAATTTTCAATAGATAAAGCCTTTGTTACCAAATTTAAGCATGATCGTATGGGTACAGACGATGAATCTCGTAGTAGGCATCCAAAAACTATTACTTCTAAACTGATTTAAAAAATTCACGGTATACTATTGAATGACTTTTGAGTAAAAGCGAGTGAGATTTTAGATGCGCAAACTAACAGTTTGCACAGAATTTCAATTGATTATTTTGAAATGATGAAGTATTTACGTTTAGTCCTAGTAAGAGCCAAGCTTAACTACGGCTCAATCGTTTACAACTCCTCCAAAAAAAGTACTTCTTTTTGGAGGAGTTATAAATACATGTCATTTGCTACAATCCTACAATCTCCTACAATCCTACTTGTTAAAAATTGGTATCCATTTTTCACACCACCATGATATAACCTCAATCCGAACCCCTCCTCCTTGGATAATTCACTTTCTCTCTACTCACACCAGCTTATTGCGCCTGAAGAAATCAGAAACGTCAGAAAATCAAATTAATTAAGAATTTCTTAAAATATTAAGCAATATGGTAGCTTTCAAAGTTTACACCGATGCCTCCAAAAACGAAGGCGAAACTCAGGCAGCAATCTACTAGATTACACAGAAGCTAAAAATTACCTTCATATACAACAACGTTCTTTGAATCTGAATGATTTGAAATGATGAAGTATTTACGTTTTTCTCACAATCTAGCAACCATAGTGATGTTAAGAAACCGTATGGTATGCGGACGAAATTCACATTTACATTTGTTAAATGAAAAAACTTGAATTTGTTGGGTTTGAAGGGCCTGATGTTATTGCTAAGAAGCTTCTACACGATGATCAAGTAATTATTTGGTTTGATATATCTGGTAATCGGGTTGATCCATATTTTGTTAAAGGCGATAATGAGCAGATACCTAATTCTTTTGAACTAAGCCTATTTAGAATATTGTTATATAGTCTAGGCGGGATCTGTTTTGGATTGGAAATTTTCGAGGGAAGCTATTTTTTTGCTGGAATCCCTTCAGGATATGCCCAGTATCGATAATCACGATATGCGCCAGTCGCAAACCCTGTGCTAAATTTTTTATTTAACAAAATCTGAAAACAATTGAAAATTTCTCATTTTTTTGCTCCTATTTTCATTTATAATTCGAAAAATATTGATCTTAGAGAAAAAATTATAAGTAGTTAAAAGTTTCGTTATTAAATTTTACACAATATTTTGTTAGCTAGAAATTGAAAATTTATTGGTTATTGTTGAAAAAATAGCAATAATTGGAAAAAAAAGTACAAAAAAATGAAGTTAATCCTTTAAATGTTTTCGACTTTCTAAACTTGACTTACAAGTTCCATATTCCGCCTAGAAAAACTTTTTAATATGCTTAAAACGTGTGCTAAATTTTGTTAAGATCGGTCGGATAGGTTTTGCATAATAATTTTGCAATCCAGCCTACTGGAAAAAATCGCAAATTTTCAAATTCATAGTAGGCCCTAAATAAGGCCTTCAGATAGTTGCATTTTTTTTACATATAAAGGAAGTCTCACACTTTCAAACGCTTTTTGTAAAATTCAAATCGGTTTAATAGGAAAGCCTATAAATTTTTTTAAAATTATAAACATTTTTTAGGCTTATAAACAAATTAAATAGCTTTACGAGCTTTAAACATATCAATTTCAAAATGTATACACTTAAAGAACATTAAAAGACGCTTCTTTTAAGAAAAAAGAGATAAATTCGGCTTGCTGGTTGCCGAGATATTGAAGGTCAAAGTTGGTATACATTTGCCGTGTAACCATAAGTGATAGAGGGCTCGTTTTTAAACAAATACCCTCGTCTTGCCAAATACTTTTTATAAGAAAAGTTTTACGTAATGCGCTTCATGGCAACATCCATAAAAAAGACAAATAAAAAACCGTTTTCGCGTAAAATGTCGCTCGGAATCCATGAGAGATGGTGGTGAGGGACATTCACTTCAAATGTGAATCAGCGAGTATCAAGTAGGGGACCATCACTTTGTTTAATATCGGGTTTTGAAATAGAAACAAAAGTAAAGTGCTCCAAAATCTGTAAGGGCTTGTAAAGTAAATTGTTACTTTTAGTAAACAAATATGTATTTATAAATTGTTAATAAATAATTTGAATTGTTAAAACAAAGGAAATTTTTTTTTGTAAAAATCAAACATTTTAAAATAATTAACATCAAAAATAATTTATTTCTGCAGTTTTATCATAATAATGACATTATTTGATTTGAGAATATATTTTGATTCGAAAGTGACGTGTATATTGTATATTGACGTGTTATTATACTGCTGTGTAATGCTCGAAATTGTTTTTTTTTGAGCTTGCAATTTATACATTGAAGTAAATTGTTACTTTTAGTAAACAAATATGTATTTATAAATTGTTAATAAATAATTTAAATTTCTTAATATTGTTCTGAAGCTATTTTCTTGTGGCATTGTAAATTAATTACTATTTATAACTGGGAATAAGCCACATTAAAGATAAAAATACATTTATTGACGTTTCAATTTCCAATTCGGAAATCGTTCTCTTTTTCGAATTGGAAATTGAAACGTCAATAAATGTATTTTTATCTTTAATGTGGCTTATTCCCAGTTATAAATAGTAAATAATTTAAATTGTTAAAACAAAGGCGAATGAAACAAAAATTTTCTTTTCATAAATAATCTTTATTTTGACTCAATCTTCAATAATTTGTCTTTTTCTTTTTCTGGAAGGACAAGAATCTTCAGGTTTTATTTCTTCCTCAAAACCTTCATTTTCCATTTCAATATCTTCATCCTCGATCTGTAAATTTAATGTTTCTTCTCCTTCATCTGTAGCTATATCTTGTGCCTCCAAAAATCTAAGGAATCCATCGACTCCATATCCATATCTCGTTCAACTTCTTCCAATATTTTATTGTGATCAATATTTTTACATGTTTGACCATTGCAGTGAAGACAATAGTCAGAACATTTGAGACCATGTTTGATACAACTGCATGTTTTTGTACAAAGTTTTTTACATTTGCAACTAATATTTCTGAATAATGAGTCAGGTAGTAATACTTGCTCAGTTTGTATTGGCTTCAGACCATTTTGAGTTAGTTCCCACCCCCACTCAGTAGCATTCAGGTTATTTCCAAGCCACTGCTGTACTTGGAAATATACACGAAGCGAGTGTTGCTCAGCTGCAGATTGTGTAGGTGGCAGCATGGACAATTGAAAATTTTTATTTTTGCAACCTTTTTTAAAGCACAAGTAGCGAATTTTATTCAATGTAAAATCGCA